CGCCCCAGAGCACCCAAAGCAAATCGGGAGGCTCCCTATGGTCAGGGGAGTTTTGCCAATGCCCCAGTCCCCGCCACAGCCCACACCTGTGACGTCAGAACGCTGGGGCGGGGCCTGGGATGCACGTTTTGCTTGGATGACACAACGCATGCCCCATTCAGCGGTGTCTACAAGCACCGTTCAGCGACCTGGATGGCGACCTTCAAGCTATACCACCACTGTCACCCCCTGTGCCCAAGTGCTGACCCCGCCCCCCTTTCAAGTTGCATTGTCCATTTTTGGATGGGAGGGGTTTTTTTTTAGTTTACCACCCACTGTGATTTCAAGGAGGCGTGGCCAAGTTTGTAAATCATGATGCTTGTCCCCCGGCCCCTCCCGTGACCTCCGTTTTCTCATCACAAATTCCTAGTGAACCGATGCTGGGGGTGGTCTCACCCTCAGGCCTGCTGAGCCGGCCCCTAACTCATGGGGACCCCAAGCACTATGGGATGAGACCGTTGTGAACCAAGGGGCGGGGGTGGGGGCGGGGCTGGGTGGGGGTGTATTTTACCGGCTGGCGTTTCAGCGGTAGGTCGCCAAACCTTTCTTCCTTGAACGGTTTAAGGGATTGAGATCTCTTGTCTAGGATTAGGAGGCACCCTAGCTGCTGCCTAATGCAGTGTTTTCCCAGGGGTGCCCCTAGCTGGGCTTTGTGGTGGGAATGGCTAGGGTGGGAAGGTGCAGCCGGTGGGGCGGGTCCTGCTGAGGCTGGTCACAGCAGGTGAAGGGAGATGGCGGTGTGCTGGGCAGTAGGGACATCTTCCTGCTTCCTGCCAGGACCTCGACAGTGACAATGGCGACCTGTGCACGCTGGCCATCCATGGCCTGGACGTCCCGCCACCCACGGGGCCCCTCTGGGTCCTGGGTGCCAGCTTCATTCGCAAGTTCTACACTGAGTTTGATCGGCGGAACAATCGCATTGGCTTTGCCCTGGCCCTCTGAGGCTTGGTGCTGCCCAGGCAGGCCCTGTCCTCAAGCCCAGCCTAGAGCCAGGTATACCTGGGCTTGTGCACGCAGGGCACCCGGTACCCTTGGACGTTTGCCCTGCTCCCACCCCCCACCCCGCACCCACCCTTCCCTGCTCTGAGGGCAAACAGAATAAAGACTTGGTGTTTGCCACCCTGTTGTATCTTGGTCCACTGGGGTTTGAAGTGAGGGACAGCCGCATGACTACGTGCAGACAGGAATGAGACACAGGTCGACAAGCTGTACACATGGACCCGCATGCTAGGCTCTGGCATGCAGGGACAGCACCACAGTCATTGTCAGGAGGGATCAGAGGGGAGGAGCTGTTTACACAACCACAGGTGGGAAGTTTGCAGAGAGCCAGCCCCATGCCCCTGCAGCCCTTCAGGGGGGCCAAGGTTAATGCTTTAGCAGTAAGTGAGGGCCAGAAAGATGCCCCCAGCCCATCTCATGGTAACCAGCCCGGAGCTCAGGCTGGGAACCTCTGAGCCAGCCCGCCTTGCCACTCACGCAGTGCAAATGCCCCCACCTCCAACACCACCTCCCTCCCATGTCCGCCCCACGGAGCCACCTGCTGGAAACAAGGACTTTGAACCGTTCCTCCGTGGTTGATGAAGCAAAACCAGAACCTGGAAGACTGGGCAGAGGGCAGGCTTGGAGGGGCTGTCTGGCTGTCCGTAGCGAGGCCTTTCAGGACCTGAGGCATGACATGGTTGCTGCAGGCTCCGAGCAGCACGATGAGGTCAGCCGTGTGCTCTGTGCTGGGCCCGTTCCTGGTTTTGGATTTGACCTGGTCATGAGATAGAGTTGCTATGCAACAGGCACGCTGACTATCCTCGTCTTCCAAGAGACTGGGTTGCTAGCAGGGCTTCCACCTCTAATTATGCTTGTTCTCTGGCTAGCGTTGCCCGACCACCCACATTAAAAACAAAACCCCAAAACCCTGTCTCTTCCAGAGTCGCTCCCTCAGCCACGACTATACCAAGCCCGCTCAAAGTCAGGCTCAACGGTGGCTGCGATCCAACCAATACTTCCATTCCACATGGGGGGAAGCAGGGGCCCTGATAATTCGAGTATTTGCAGCGAAGAAGCAAGGCTCAAACCAGCAGGGTGGACTCAGGCTTTCCACATCACCAGGTGCCCAGCACACAGAGTGGCACACACGCTATCCGCCCCCCCACCCCCCAGGGGGACTCTTCAAGCTGAACTCTCTTATCCCATGCCTGCCTCTTGGGCTGGCTGCAGGGAGTGGTGTAAGGTTTGGGGAAGGAGAGGCAACTGCCTCTGGCCTTCTCCAAGGGAGCTGCTCAACCCTTTGGACCCAACCAGACCCAGGCCTACCTTGTGGCATTAGAACTGCAGCCTCTTGGGGTTGGGTGGGCCCCCAGGGTTCCGGGGGAGGATTCCTGTAGCCCAGCCCTGTGCATGAACCTGGGACACTGGACTCAGTCCGGCTCCCACCACTGAGTCTCCAGGTCCATTCTCCTGCCTGGGCTTCCTTTCCTTACTGCAAGTCAGTGTTCTGTCCAATTCTGCCACTCTGGGGCTTACTGACCTTAAGTGAGCAAGTCCCCCATCACCTCCGGTGCTGTCCAATGAGGGGGCCGCCAGTCACATGTGGCTGCATTCACTGGGGTGAAGTAAAAGACCACACTACCCACGATCAAGTGCTCACTGTCCACATGTGGTTAGTGAGCATGGCTTTGGGCAACGCAGTCGCGGGGCAGCTCCACTGCAGAAGCCCCGTGGGCAGAAGTGGGTCCTGGGCGGCAGCGATGAGAGGGCCCTTGTGAATGGAAAGTTCCTGAACAGCTAGGTCTCTTGGAAGTCTCCTTCCTGAGTTGGTGGCTGTAGAGGTCTCCAAGGCAGAGCAAGAGAGCGGGTGACCGAGGTGGTGGACAGTCAATAGAGTCCTGCCCAGGAAGTGAGAGAATGGCCAGGAGAAAGTCCAGCTACAGGGGTACTTTCCCCTCTGCTGGTGGCCCTTTCCTTAATGGGGCCTCCTCCTCTCCCCATGTCAACTCTCCCTCGGGACACCATGACCCCACCTACCACACACCTGCATTCTCTCACACAGTCACATACACACTAATGTGTTTCATACACACATTCTCATATACACTCGCACACATATTCTCTCTCTCACATACACACACACACACACACACAC